AGTCACAGATCATGAACTGGAAGATATTCTCTCGCATTGATAAACATCCTTTTGTGAAGTACTTTCGAAAGAATTGGGACAGCTGTCGTGAGCTCTGGTGTGCACATAGGCGCCAGAATACCGTCACACTCGGCAATAATACCAACAATCGCCTAGAAGCCTCTTGGAAGCAGCTTAAAGAGTGGGTGGATTCGTTTATGGGGGTGGATGAGTGCATCGCTTCGACCATGTACTATCAAACGTTACAAGAGCGATTGTTCATTGCAGAAGTATACGAGAATGTGACCGTCCAGCATCCTGATTACGACAGCGAGATGACACTGGTGGCGAATATTGTCAGTGAGCATGCTTGTGAACTTATATTCGGGCAGTATTCGTATGCTATTGGATCTGCGTCGTACACGTTTTATGAGGGGTGCCCAGACGTGTATTTTATCAAGAGTATATCTACAGCTGATGACGCGCTGGACGAGATGAACGCCGAGTATTCAGTTACTAAGCGCGAATGGAAGTACTCCTGTCTATTCATGTGCACGAGATTGCTACCCTGTCGACACGTTTTCTACCTCCGAAAGGCTCTTGGTCAGGAGACAGTCATCCCCACACTACTGTTAAACAGGCGGTGGCTGTTGTCTACTGTGCGTGCGGCGATTGAAAATTCAAGTGTCGTCTCTGACACAGCGGAGCCAAAGTCTTTTGAGGTAAAAAATGTGATATCCTCACAGGCGAGACCGTGGGACTCGAACCGCAAATATCGTGAAGCACTGCAATTTGCATCCCAAATTTGTGACACCATGGCGGGACTCGGCATGACGCAGTATAAAGAAGCGATGCAGTATCTTCAAAGTGTGACTGGGCGGTTCAAGATAGGCAAATTCGAGGATCCCGGTGTGCCAATTTTACCACCAGCTGAATCTGAGCGTCACGGTTCGACTAGCAACTCGCGCGATGATGCGCTGTCGCCGCCACTACTTACTGGTCACGATCCGACTGCACGGCCGACTCACCACGTGTCGGCAGAACTGCTTACTCGTCATGCGGATACAGCAAATGTGAGTCATGTATCCCCAACTGCCTCTGAGTCTGACCATGCCACAAGCTGCAACTCCGTCGAAACAACACAGGTTGCAGATTTATCGGGCCAGTCGGGGGCATATCAGGTCCAGTCGAGGAAGAATCGGGTCCAGTCGGGGAAGAATTGGATCCAGTCGGGGAAGAATTGGATACAGTCGGGGAAGAATTGGATACAGTCGGGGACGTTGAATTAAGCACACTACCACCAGCAACGGAAGACACGCCATTTGTGATAGCGAGTCCTCCAACGACCAAGACAGACAGCCAGATCAAAGAAGGCAGCTCGTAAAAAAACTGTCATTGTAGCTCAAGAAGACTCAGAGCTGTACGCTTCGAATTTAAGCTTGGCGTCCGTGGATGCAGCGCTGTCTTCGGATGCAACATACATATCGTCATCTGCAGTTGTGAACAAGTTCAAAATGGTGGAGTATGGCTTCAAGTTCAAGACACCTACAGCACGAACAATATCGAGCTTGCCACCCACAATCGCTTTGATACCAGCAGAGTCGATCACGCGGATATTGCGCCCTGAACAAATTGCCATTTGCAGGAAAAAGGTTTCGGCTCTGCAGTTAAAGCACAAAGGCCTAGCAGAAAGTGCCGTGGCGCTGGATATTTCAGGCTTTGGTGCGTACTCAACAAGTACAATTGGGATCGTGAATAGGTGGCACATGGCAATAAAGGTGGTAAAACAGGTCGAGAAGGCTGTGAAGTGGGTCGAAACCATTGACTTCACACTCCCAATGCCTGCTGCCTTTCAAGTGGTGCTACAGACGGATATGCTGTCAAAGATGCAGTCAATCCCGCTTTTGTCTGCAAAGGTACGTCGACGAAATCATGCCATCACTACAACACTTTCTAACTAAACGTTATGTTTGACAAACAGGCAGAAATTCTAGATCTCGTCGAAAAAAACAGCTAAGCGACGATACCATGAATATCGTCATGTCCAAGCTGTTCGGAGAACGAAATGATGTCGTCATTGTGGATCCAGGTGTTATCGGTTCCATTGATAATGAAGATAGTCCTGTCAATACCAGAGCCTTCGCTACAATTTTTGCGGGCAAGACGAACGAGAAAATTCTGATCCCTCCCTATATGCTGCAGCAACACGCATTGGTGCTGCGTAATGGTGAACTTAAATCTGAATGATGTGTGCATCTATGACCCAATGAGCTCGAGCTATGTCGTTAGAGTCCGAGCGGTCGCAGAAAAGCTGGCAATGCAACTGCCAAACTACGCACCAAGGAAATACCGAGTACACCACTACATGGGCGATCTAGGGGTACAAGTAGATTCATACAATTGTGGTATGTATGTTCTGCTAGCGTTTGAGGTATTCGCTGGTGCCCAAGGTCTGTGCATGCTGAGTAGAAAGGAGTTACAGTATCTGCGCTACAGATACATATATATGTGTCTATAGCTAACCCTTTCAACAAGTTGATATTAATTCTGCACTTACCAGTCCCACTGAGCTCTACTGAATAAAGTTTCTCATGCTCATGACATGATGCCGGTCGTACTTGCACGCTCAAACCACAAAGTCTTCACATCCGGATATACGTATACGGACGCTTGATTGCTCAACTGACTTAATCTGTGTCGGGCATGGTCGGGCATTGATTGGGTGCTGTCGGGCACCATTATCCTGTCTCTTCCACACCGTCGGGGTTGAATAGCAAGTGCCTTTATTTATATCAAACAGACAAGTATTAGACTTTTTACAGTCTGTATAGTATGGGTTACAATTTCTGGCCCAATGTTCAATGTCGCCTACAATAGTCGCACTTGCACTTGCATGGTTCACATTGTTAAATGCCGCAGACAATTCACATGGCGGCTAGCAAACCATACGGCGAAGTGGCCATCGTGGTGCTTCGAACCCACCCAGTCTCTCGGTGTTGCTTCCGCGTCAGCACTGCTCGCAAACGAGCAAACCTGTTGACCTCGCAGCTTCCATTCAACACTGGCACGCTGTGACAGACAGCCTGCCGCGCACTCATCGACGGGCTGCCTTGATCATGACCGTGCGGGAGGAACTCAATCCTGCCCCGCCGAATGTCTGTCACGCTGAACATATTCATGATTCATGAATATGTTCAGCATGAATCATGAACTATTAAAACATGTACCTCCTCAAGGTTGTCAAAGTTAGGGAGCAAAAGTCTTGCTACAAACACTCAGCGACGCCATCTGAAGCTTACTAGGGAGCCCCTTCAATCGCAAAATCGTCCCTAGCAGTGAGTCGATCATCGCGATTTTTCTTCTTTGCGTCGTACAATGTATACAAGTACAGTATTACATGTACATCTCGAATCGGAGTGTTCAATAATTCTCGAGCATGCGGATTGAAGTGTTGCAAGCATCCGTACTTGCTCGTGAAGCTCACGGTGCCGGCGGCACCGTGCCGCTCGCGAGCGCGGTGATCCGATCACTGATCGTGGCAGTCTTAGCATTGCTTACAACTCAACTTTTACGGAGTGAGCGAGATTCGTGGAATTGCTTTGAGTCGACCACAAACCACCGGCACAAACACGGTCCACCCCGATAAAAAAAAAATGCTTCAATTTCTGGAAGCACCACGATTCGTGCAGTAAAAATTACAGCCTGTAAAACACGAATCGTGGTGCTTCCCAGAATTGTAGCATTACGGTATGCAGACAATCTCCGCTTGACAGTTTTGAGCTTGCTGGTCACCCACCACCCCCTCCTGCCAGAAGGGCGATCAGCAAGTTGACAAATGGATCCCATTGCGCCGTTAGATCCGCAATTTGCGGATCTAAATGCGCTGACGTGCTTGAGCAGTCCGAGAGCGAAGCCACAAAGCCACTGACGCGAGGAGGTCTGGCAACGGCAAAATCTTCATGTGCATCGCAGCCTGTTTAAAATAGTGTTTCGTCCCGGACGAAACACGAATCGTACGGCACATAGATGCCCGCGCGCAATGACTTGGCCTGACCAAGCCCCCTGGATTCCGCGCGTGAGCCATCCACTTTGCGATGCGCTGCCTGGCTACGCTCGAAAAGTAAGTCACCACGACTCTTCTGAAGCACATCGCGGCAAATGTCCCCAGCTGGACCTACACGCATCCGTCTCTCGGTGTAGGTGGCCGCTCAAGCGGACTGCAGCTCTCGAAAGGGGATCCTGATAAACCTCCACCTCGCTTGTTTAGTTTTCGTTTTTCCGCCATGTTGTCCTCGAGGCGCAGCCGCACCATGTCACGGTAGGTTCGACTAACGTTCCCTGACAAGTTGACTCACCCCACGGGCTCCGATAAAACTAACCACGATACCCGCTGTTCACTTCAACAGGAATGACTCGAAGGCATTTCCGCTGCCTGACGACTTCTTTCCAGACATCAAGCTAACGGAGGAGCAGATCCTGAACCACGAAATGCGGGTCGAGGAAATCGTCCGAAACGCACTGCTTGAGTACGATCGTCACGAAGCAAAAGGTGCCTACCCAATCTACAGTGCGCCGTGGGTGCCCGTCGGCAGCGAAGGCCCTTTGACTGCTATTCGAAAGGAGTCGACGGAGGGGCTTACGAACAGCGAGTTCCGTCTCTTCGGATGCATTCAGGGCGACTGGCGCAACTTCATGAATTTTTACTACGCCGAGACATCTGAGGAGCTTTTTGAATGGAACCAATTCATGTACGGATATGCAGTGGACGCGGTCGTGCTGAAGAATATTCACACGAGAGACTCGGGAAAGCCACATGAGTATTTGGGACTCAAGTGGACGTGCCTGCAACCCTCGTCATTTGGCCGCAAGCGCGACAACTGTTTTCTCGAATACCTGACGTACACGAAGGACGAACTGGGTCGCAGCGTAGGTGTGCGCGTGACGCTGCCGGTCGAGATCGACGAGTGCCCGGATCTGTACCGCAGTCTGAGAGTCAAGCGCATCAAGACACACAATGTTGCCATCGTCCGCCCGGCAGGGTCTTCGTCCGAGGCTACACAGCTCTTCGTCATGAGCGAAAACGACTTTGCCGGTTTGTCAGTGAGTGCCAAGAACTTCAAGAAGTTTATGCGCATCTACAACGACATGGCCCTGTTCGTCGACTCTAAACACATTCTGAAGCAAGGAATGATATGCAAGACGAATTGGATGCCCAACAACTCGCGTAAAGCTTGTACAAATTGCCAACTCCCCTTCAACGCTGCCACTCGCCGTCGCTCCCACTGTAGACTGTGCGGAGACATCTTCTGCAACCACTGTCTGATTGTTCGCAACGTGCCGCGCGACCAAAACGGAGCACCAAAGTCGCGTACCTTCCAGGTGGTTAAGTCTCGCTTCTGCAAAGCGTGCCTTTCAAGAGTACGCCGGGAAAGTGACACAGTGCATTTAACTCGGTCGGCAGTGGCGTGTGGATCTTCGGACACGAGCATCAGCAACGGGAACGACGTCAACAATGACAGCAAGAAACTGCGTAAAGCTGTGAGCAATACCAGCGACCGAAGCAACTTACGGCAAGAATGGTGGGATGACATCGCATCTGAGTCCGATTGGTCCGAGACGGACTCGGAGGATGCCAGCAAGGCCTCTCTAAACGCGTCAGGCCGATCGAGACTTGCTAGTTCACTGTCATCGTCGCAGTCGTCGTGGACAACGACCTGCCCCGAAGACACCTTGGACGATATGTCGTTTGTTGCTACACTGGATGTTATTGACGACGACGTGGCCATTCTCGACGAGAAACCACAGAGCTCCAAGTCCAGGCTGCACAAAAAGCTCTCATATTCTGGTCGCTATTCGATGAGTAGGAGGCATTCAACACGCAAACCGCAGTCGCAGCCATCCGTGGAGACGCACGAGGTCACCGAGGTAATCGACACCACCGACATGATGACGATGTCCGAACTCCGGCGACAGTCACGAGCACGAACCACTGGTGTTGTGGCCCCATCTCGAAAGTACAGCAAGCGACGCAGTGGGCGGGAATCATTGTTGCTTAGCTCGAGCGGACCTAGCCGACGTCTGAGCCGTGACGAGCCAGCCAACCGGTTCCGCTCGTCTCGCTCTATTAGTCAGTGCCTAGCGGAGCAGGAAGAGCTCCTCCGATGTATGCTCAGTGTCAGCCGAGTGCATTCGAACCCTGGCGTGGGCTCCAAGAGAAGAGTTTCTAAGCCACCTAAGGTGGACTTTGCGGCGACTATGCCCGCTCCGCGCCCCACGGTTCGGTTATATGACCGTTAAATTTGATTCTAGTCTGCAAGACTGCAGCTTACAGCACTTTATCTATTACTACAGTACTTAGCGCATAATAAAGGAGTAGACTGCGATCGAACCTGTTGGCTTTTAGAACGAGA